CAGTATGTTTAACAAAAAGTGAGGAAAAGATTTATTAATTCACTTACTTGTAATACTACATTCTTCTCTAATACCGTTTCCGGAACACAATGAACCCTGAATAGCAACATGGGGTTCAATACCCACTTACAAAATACTCAACAGCAGATATTTAAAAAACATGTATTCCATTTTCTTTTAATACCAGGTTCAATGGCATATTCTGTTCTATCTTATAAAAGCATCTGCTAGTATAGAAACATGTGAACTACTGTTACAACACACACCCCCCCCCCCCCCCCCCCCCCCGACTGTCATATTCCGCATTTCTAAATGGGATTAGGTGTCAAAGGCCTGGAACACATACATACACACACACACATATATATATTACACACACACAGTACTGTGCAAAAGCTTTAGGCAGGTGTGAAAAGAATGCTTTCAGAAAGTAGTGTTAATATTTTCTTTTCCAGCAATTAACAAAGTGAAAAGCAAATGAACAGAAGAGAAATCCAAATCAAAATTTGGTGTGACCATTCTTTGCCTTAAAAACAGCATAAATTCTTCTAGGTACACTTGCACACAGGTTTTGAAGGAACTCGGCAGGTAGGTTTTTCCAAACATCTTGGAGAACTAACCACAGATCTGCTGTGGATGTAGGCTGCCTCAAATCCTTCTGTCTCTTCATGTAATCCCAGACAGACTTGATGATGCTGAGATCAGGGCCTTGTGGGGGCCAAACCATCACTTCCAGGACTCATTGTTCTTCTTAACACTGAAGATAGTTCATAAAGGAGAACTATTGGGTAACCTTTTTTTGCCCATAGATCTCCTCACAGGAGGAGAAATAGTGAGGCAAATGTATCAAAATTGGAGCAGACAAAATCTGGAGCAGCTGTGCATGGCAACCAATCAGCATCCACCTTTCATTTTCAAACCTTAACTGAACAAACTGAAGAGAGAAGCTGATTGTTTGCCATGGGCAACTGCTCCAGATTCTTCTGCTCCAGTTTTGATAAATTCCACCCATTGTGTCCATTGGTGACGCAAAACTCCGTATATAACGAGCTATTACCGCTATATACCGAGAGCGTCACAGCCGGGACGGATCCCAACAATGCTGTCGAGATCAACCCTGCTGGCTGATTAGAGAGGCTGAGTCAGCTGTGCCCGCCCCCTCCCCGTTCCTCCAGTCAGCACTGGGGGATCGCAGAGAGGAATCCCTGCAGCCGTTGTTGACTCCCCAGAGAGGGTTGGGGAGTCAACAACGGCTGTGTGTTTTCGCTGACTTCCCGATCAATAGAGCCGACCCGTGACAGCTTCAGTGTTACAGATCGGCTTGAGTTATGGGGATGAATGTTTTTCACTCAACCCAAAATTCTCCATCAATGACATTTGCTGTATGTTTCGGGTCGTTGTACTTCTGCAGAATAAATTTGGGGCCGCTCACACGCCTCCCTGATGGCATGGCATGATTGATAAGTACCTGCTTGTATTTCTCAACATTGGGGATACAATTGATCCTGACCAAATCTCCAAATCCATTTGAAGAAAAACAGCCCCAGACTTGCAAGGAACCTCCACCATGCTTCACTGTTGCCTGCAGACACTTATTGTATCGCTCTCCAGCCCTTCGGCAAACTGTCTCCTGATACAGCCAAATATTTCAACTTTTGACTCATCGGTCCAGAACACCTGCTGCCATTTCTTTGTACCCCGTTCCTATGTTTTCATGCATAGTTGAGTCGCTTAGCCTTATGTGGGAGGTATGGCTTTTTGGCAGCAGGGGCACCAGATAAGACCTAAAGAGCAATTTGTAGTTAGTCTCCACGGCTTGTACATTCGCAGAGCTCTTGGCAGTAGTACTCCAAATCTCTCAGCAAGAGGAGCCCAGATCACGCTCCCACTTACGGGCGTCCGAAGGAGGGGTTCTCTTGAGATTGTCCAATAACAGCTCATATAGTGTAGAAATAACTGCTGGGCCTCAAGTACCATTGTGCAAGAGTCTTTCAAAAGGGGTGAGATGATGAATTCTGAGTCAATCATACCAGTTTGTTAAAAATATTTAATTTGAAGGAATTAAAAGATATCCCTTGGTCTAAGTTTATGTCTATCCCGAAGGATTAGAAAAGGTGCAATACCAAAATCCAAGAGTTTAACCAGGAATAAGGAACATCATGTATGAAAATCAATAGAATTTAGATACCCTGGTAGAAATAATAGGATTTTGGTACTCACCGTAAAATCCTTTTCTCTCCGTTCATTGAAGGACACAGGGAACAGATCGGAGATCATGTACTGTAGGGTAATATCGCCACCTGCAGGAGAAGGACGCTAGGCACAAAAAAACTAAAGACCAATTACAGCCTAGGGGCGGCCCCTGCCGGTGGCCAAACCCCCCACCTACTGAGAAGTCTCCAGTTTAGTAACAAGCAGTAAAGGAGTACACACCCACATAGAGGGGTGGGCCCTGTGTCCTTCAATGAACGGAGAGAAAAGGATTTTACGGTGAGTACCAAAATCCTATTTTCTCTCCCGTTCATTGAAGGACACAGGGAACAGATCGGAGATCATGTACTGTAGGGACGTCACAGAGCAGTACCAAAAAAGAGGGGTGGGCCAACAGAAACAACAAACCCAACTAAACAAAAAAAAATTCCCTCAAACGGCCGCCTGCAACACTTTGCGCCCCAAACCAGCATCCGCAGATGCCAAAACATCCACCTTATAAAACTTGGCAAAGGTGTGAACAGAAGACCAAGTCGCAGCCTTACAAACCTGAGAAATGGAGGCACCATGACGGAAAGCCCAAGATGCCCCAACAGCCCTTGTAGAATGGGCCGTAACAGAAAAAGGAGGCTCACGCCCCTTAATAGCATACACCTGAGATACTGTGTCACGAATCCATCGAGAGATGGTAGCCGACGAGGCAGCCCTAGACTTCTCAGTAGGTGGGGGGTTTGGCCACCGACAGGGGCCGCCCCTAGGCTGTAATTGGTCTTTAGTTTTTTTGTGCCTAGCGTCCTTCTCCTGCAGGTGGCGATATTACCCTACAGTACATGATCTCCGATCTGTTCCCTGTGTCCTTCAATGAACGGGAGAGAAAAGAGGTTACCCAGTACTGTGACTTAGGGGGAACATGTGGAAATGCCCATTTTGAAGATAGTGTCAGACCGTCCCAAACTTGCAGTGTACAGTATTTGGTGATGGGGCAAGACACCACCCTCCTCAGTTTTGGGGCCAGCCAAGTAAGATTAGTGAGCAATATGGCGGCACATAAATAGGTTTCCAGAGAAACCTACAGGGGGACCTCTTTCATATTATAACACTGCACCAGAGGGACCATATGAGCTGCTTGGCAGTATTTCTGGAACAAAAGGGTAGACCCAAACCTCCCCATATTTTTAATGTCTTTCTAAAGCTCACTCCTTCTCCAGTTTGTTACTGAAATTGTATTAGGGTAAGAAGAGTGACATTACATGAGTCCTCTAATGAATACGTATGGAGAGCTGGATGGGTAATGAAGACAATTTGCACTAAAGCACTCCTCAGACTGTAATGCAAACCCACAGCAATCTAGTTAGAAGTGTTTCCATATACTCTTTACAAAAACCTAAAAATAAATTATTGCACACAAATAAGGATGAGAAGAAAAACACAAACAGTTGTTTTTAAGCAAATTACTGAAAGAGAAAATTAAATAGAATTAAACATAATCATATACTGTAGTTTATTTTTATTCAAAAAGTTACTGTCTCAAGACATAAATACAAATCAGAAAACAGTACAGAGGACAATAGAATGTGGAGGACAACAGGTTAGGTAAATATATAAAACATTTTTAGCTGGTTGAAAACAAAGCTGTAAGAACTGCTTTCACAAAGATATACTCTGTCTAGAGTAAGAAAGAAACTGACTTAAGTTTAAAATCATATATACACAGTCCTCTCAGCAGTTCTACTAAATGCAGTGGTGTGAAGGAAGAATAGGCAGTCATTTCAGACATGATTATTAATGCAACATGATTCAAGACGGATCAGGTTCTGTGTTAGACTGTGAGGTTTAAAAATTATATTTTAGAAGTCTCTAGTTAATTTATGGTTTTTGGCTACCTCAGCCTAAAGGTGATCATTACACAGTATAACAGCAGTTTTTTTTTTTTCTTTTTTACACAAGAGAAGTTTGTGTATTGTAAGCATAAGGCATGGAATGACTTAAACCTCAGAGGAAAAAAATGAAGACAACTGACAAAAAAATATACACATGAAATATAACTTAAATTTTACTTTTATGTCTAGCTGCCTAAGCTGGGCAAAATGAGTTGGTGTTGGATGGCAAATATTGACAACTGGCTGTGAAGGATGAAGTGTAGATCAAAGCTTTTATAGAATAAAGCTAAGTGTTGCTTAGTCTCTCAACTAAATTTAAAAATACAGGAAATGTACTGTAACCTGCTGGAAGTATACTTAACCTGAAGACTGCTTGCAAAGACAAATAGATAAAACAATATAAAATACAAATTTAAAAATCATTTCAAAGCGAATATTACCGCTTCAACTATTTTTTTTTTTTAAACATCGTTAAAACTTTCAATATATTTCTGAAACCTCAATTTAAGTTGGAATTTAAAAGTAAGAAAAACTAAACAAACTGCGCAATTATAAAATCAGAACC